ATGGGCATAAGACTCTTATGGTACAATAGTGAATAATTGCCATCAGGACTAACTGTGAGGGTAGGAAATATAGAAGTAGATGTTTTTTTGAAAAAAGGAGGATAGTGATTGATTTTGCAGCTCAGGAGCGGAGGTCCCCAGGACCATCAAGTGAGAATAATGGAGAGTGGGACCTTACCCAGAGAGGCAGTAATGCCAGGGATGGAGACAGAGATGATGATGTGGATAGATGGGAGTGGCTGGGGACACTGGACTCAGGGAGGGAGAAGGGCTGTGTGCTGGAGGCAGGGGAGGGGCAGGCTTGTGGGGTGTACCTTTTGGTTATTTGATGATGCATGGAAGGGACTGTAATCATTGCAATGAAACAAAATACGATACGATGAATTTAAAGCTGACGTTCTCCCACAAAACTCACAATAAAAACTTTAAAAAAAAAAGATTAAAGAGCAGTAAGTTTATGTTCATGAGAGACGAACAACTCAGGAAAGGGGGTGTAAAAATGGTTGTCCAAATCTAAGAATATAATCAATGTCACTAAAGTATACTGTACAATCTGTGGAATTGCTGCTTGTTTTGCTGTGTGTATTTTCAACAATAACAACTTTTTTTAAATTTAGGAAAAAAAGAGTGACAATGAGTAAAAATTTCCTAGATTCTTTGGAATAGAGAAGAAAACCAATCTCCAAGGCAATACCTTGAGAATGATCATTGGTTTGGAAATAGCTTTAGCCACTTAGATCAAAGGTTTTCACAAAGATGATCCAAGCAGGGGCCCAAATCCCAAAGGAGGAGAATTTGCATAAAGAGTCCTTCAAATGAGCTTTTCTCTCTCTTAAATGGTGAACTCAAAGGGGAGAAGATCCTCCCACGTGGCTCCCTTGTTTACTGGGCCAGCCCAGTGCTGTGACAGAAATGAAACAACAGCTTGATGCCTAACACAGCTCGCCCCCAGGCACTGATTCAGCTATTTGTTTCCCATGAGCTCTGCTTCAAATAAACAGATCGGAAAACTTTATTAATTATGCACTCTGGGGCATACACTGTGATCGGCAGTAGGCTCCACACACGATTCCAGCAGTCAGTCTCCAGAAGAGGTGTCTCTAACTAAGGCTTTTCTGTTTCTGAGACACACACTAATGTTTGCATTCGTTTAAGAAGGTGCAGTAAGAGAAAATGAAGACTATGAAGTCAAGATATCAACTCCAGTTGTATAACTTCAGAAAATACTCCAAGGGTTGCAAATCAAAATAACTTTGAGATGTCATCTCACCTAACCATAATTACTGTTGTGTGCCATTAGTGTAGTGGTTCTGAGTCGGGCTGCTAACTTCAAGGTCAGCAGTTTCAAACTACCAGTTGTTCTGTGGGAGAAAGATGAGGATTTCTGCTCCCGTCAAGACTGGAGTCCTGGTATGATGCTGTGGGCTAACGCACTGGACTACAAAAGTTGCTTTGAACCACAAGGTCGGTGGTTCAAGCTCACCAGCTGCTCCTTGGAAACCCTATACAGGGTTACTATTTGTCAGAATTGACTCGACAACAACAAAAGCCATCGAGTTGGTTCCAACTCATAGCGACCCTGTAGAGAATTTCCAAGAGCTGCTGGCAAATTTGAGCTGCCAACTTTACAGTTACCAGTCCAGTGCTTATCCTACAGTGCTACATCAGGGTCCAACTATTATAGCAAAGTTTAGTAAGACAGAAAACCACAAATGCTGGCAAAAGTGTGAAGAGATTTGAAATCTCATGCACTGCTGATGGGACTACAATGTGGTGCACCTGGTGTGGGAATGGTACGGTAATAGTTGGAAATAGAAATACCATTTGATCCAGCAAACCCATGACTAGGTACGTATCCTTAAGAAATAAGAGTTGGGACATGGACAGACATACGTACAGCCATATTCATTGCAGCATTATGCCTAATAGCAAAGAGATACTGTCATTGAAAATGAAGACCATGAAGTCAACATATCAACTCCAGTTGTAGTAACTTCAGAAAATGAATGAATATACACACAATTATACAATGTTAAAGAATCTGTGGAACCCCTCATACTGTGGATTAAGTTAGAGGCCATTGTTGTTACATGCCATCGAGTTGGTTCCAATTCATAGTGACCCGGTACATGGTTTCCAAGGAATGGCTGGTGAGTTTGAACCCCTGACCTTGTGGCTCAAACCAACCTTGCAATCCAGTGCTTTAATCCCACAGTGCCACACCAGGACTCCATAATGCTGAGTGAAATCAGTCAATTAAATACTGCAGGAGTTTGCTATTATAGAAAGTCAAGGAAAGGGTTACTAACAAGGGGGGAGGGGGGGAGATATTTGGTGCTTACTAGGAATGCGGGGGGAGGAAAGGAGAAATACTAATTAGATCATTGTTTTTGTTGTTAAGTACCGTGGAGTCTGTTCCGACTCATAATGACCCTATATAGGGGTTTCTGAGGATTGGCTAGTAGGTTTGAACTGCCAGCCTTGTGGTTTAGTAGTCCAGTGCTTATCCTATAGTACCACACCAGGATGATATGCTGTTGTTGTTAAGTGTTATCAAGGTGGTTTCAACCCATACTGACCCTATATAGAGTTTCCAAGGGGCAGCTGGTGGACTTGAATCACTGACCTTGCAGTTCAAACTGACTTTGCAGTCCAGCACATTAACCCACAGTGCCACATCACGATAACAGACACATGTTAATTTACTTGAAGGGAAAGTCAGCATGCAATCAGGGAGTGATTCCTACAATATCAGTAAAGAAAAGAAGTCTCAGAAAGGTGCACAACAGGTATGAACAACAAAGAAATGGTATTACACAAGCCATCATTCATTATCAGAAATAACAATCTACAAGTGGATACATAGGCAGACAGGCAAGATGAACAGGTATGAGCAGGCAAAATGGACTACTCAAGACCACATAGATTTTGCATATGATATTTCTGCAAACATATTTGTATCTGCTGTATATATATCCATGTGTATAATGGAGCAAAGAGGGGGCAAAAGTATATAAACTTCTTAACCATAACCAAACAACTGAAGGGAATGTGTTACTGAGCCTGGAGGCTTGGGACCATAGTCTCAAGGGACACCAAAGTCAATTGGTATAAGATAGTTCACAAAGACAGTGTTGTTTCGTGTGTAGCAATTGGGATCTTAAAAGCTTATGAGCAGCCAACTATGGTGCAGCTATTGATCTCAGACCAGAAGAACTAGATGACTACTCTGAAAGAGATCACAGTAGAGGGTCATGGACAGAGTGGGAGAAAAATGTGGAATTAAAATCAAATCATGATTAAGACCAGGCTTACTGGGCTAATGGAGACTAGTGGAACCGCCAAAACTATGGTCCTTGGTCACACTTCAAGCCTCAAACTGAACTCATCCCTACTCAACTTCCAGCCTAACAGTACATTGGTCGATAGGGTGGACACTAACGCCAGGGAAGTGTGTATTCCTTAGAACAATAAAGTATATGAAATCAAAAGCAGTATCTGCCCTGGGATAAACTTCAGAAGGCAAGAATGTATAGGCAAATGCAGAAGGACGAACGGGAATGGTAAACACAGGAAGGAAATGGGAAGAGTGTGGTTACATTGGGAGGACTATAATCAATGTCACGAAACGAGAACGTGTATGAATTGTTGAATGGAAACCAATTTGCCCTGTAAATGGTCACTCAAATTACAATAAAAAGTTTTTTTTATAAAAAAAGATGAAGATGCTCCAAGATGCTCAGTACACTATTTTTTGTATTGTTGTTAAGTGCCGTCTAGTTGGTTCCAATTAATAACGACCCCATATAGGGTTTCCAAGTAGCAGCTGGTGGGGTTTGAACTGCCAGCCTTGTGGTTCACAGTCCAGTACTGATCCTACAGTGCCACACCAGGAAAATTAAATTTGGCAACAACATAAATGACCACAACTAGTTAAATGAAAGCCCCTCTTTCTTCTGTAGACTGTGGAAATCATGTGTTAAGAGCAGAGACATTACCCAGGAGGCTGCAGTGTGTGGGCAGAGATACAGACACAGGAAGGACAAAAACTCCACCAGTAGGAAATCATTTCCAGACAACTTAAGGATAGAGGTTTGTTCCTTAACAAACCAATGCATTTTCTTGGATATGTATCATTCTAAGTGGCCTAGCAACCAGGATGGAAGGAATGAGGACCAGAAGCAGATGGTTCTGCAGTAGTACAGTACAGTAGTATAGAAGAAGTATACTTCTTCCATGTAAAGGAAAGAAACCTGGTCTTTTCATTCCCTGATTGAGAGATGTTCTCCATCACTCACTCATTGCTTCCATTGCTGTCTGTTAAGTGTTTTCAGGCCTTTCTGATCATGACGTACTGGCGCCCACTCAACCGGTGTGTCCTTCTTAACCCTCTGAAGGTTACCTCTCTGGCAAGGTCTGTAATCAGCAAGTCCTCTCTCCTGTTCCACAAATGTGTCTCTCCTAGAGCCTTTTTCAAGGATGCCTCATTTCTTTAGCTTTTATATGGTGGGCATCTGAACAGAATTAAAAGCACAAACATGTGCAAAAATAATCTGCTTCCCAATATAGTAGATGCTGAGAAGTTCTGTATTAGCTCACACTGAGTGCTAACTGGCTGGGGCATGATTAACCTAATAGGCTTACAGTCCCACTAGCCATCCCCATCTGTTAGGGACATGAGCGAAACAGACTCAATCTGTGAGACTGAGGCATCTGCCTTCAGTAACAGCACAGGGTTTGAAATCATAGAATTACAATAGCACTGCAGGCACCAAGAGAAGCTTTGCAGGGGAGCCAAGGAAGTTGACTTCAAGGGCAGCTGGCTTCCAGTTTAGCACTGAGCAATGGACTTCAAAGGATTCTGAGCAATGGACTTCAAAGGATTCTGGTCTGGAAGTTGCCTGGATGGACTTGTAAGACAACCTTTTGCTTCTCTTTCAAATGCAATTCTCTGATAATTCTTAAAGGTGGAGGGTGAAAGATCACTACAAGGTGAAATCATGGGGTGCACACCTTCCCACAGTGACATTGTGAACAGTGTTACAAAGAGTGGCTTTCAGTTTTTGAAAAAGCCCAAGGTGATTTTGTCAGGGCATCAGGCGGGCGATGAAAGATGCTCTATCCCTTTGTTGCTTAAAAGTGCCACCTGCTATGACTCTGGTGGTGGCCAGTGCCTGGGACAGAGGACAGCTGAGGAGCAGCCAAGGGCCAGGTGGAACCAAATCACAACTGAAGGTCTATGTCAGCTCATGGAGGATTCTGTTTCAGGCTAAGGGAAAGATAGGGTAGGACTGACCCTAAAAGGCAAAACCTTTCCATCCCAGCCAACCAAATCACAGAGTCATACGGCTAAAGACATTCTGTTTAAGACACAGAGTTCTCATGGATTACAAAAAGCAGCCTTATCTGGGGAGGAGTTGGGGAAAAATAGTACTCAGCAGACCTACCCATGGGAAAGGAAATCAAAATGCCACAAACCAGGCAAACAGGACCATTGTTGCCAAACAGTCCTGCCTCCTTGCGGGTCTGCAAACAAGGTGGACTTTCCTGAGCCCCTGGTTGCAGCCCACCACCAAACTTACGCCTACCTGCACTCCAGCCTCTCCAAATACGAAGCAATCCTGTGCATCATCCATCAGGCCACCCAAACCCAGGCGTCACTGCAGCCCGTGGTCAGCTTCCTGCTACTATGCTTTGATAAGGTCAACCAGCTCTTGGGGGAGATCTCTAAAGATGGAGAAGCACTCCTTCAGCAAGTTACGGCTGATCTGACTTGGCCGTTGGGAGAAGGAGAGACCCGGGAGCAACCAGATCTCTTGCAACAGCTCCTGCAGTATACAGTCAGCAAGCTGCAGCAGCTCAATGACACAGTGGGCTCACTCACCTGCAGCCTCCTGGGACATTCCAGAAGCTTCTTCCACTCCTGCACAAGCCACTTGGAAAAGGAGCTGAGTCTAAAGAGGGGTACAGGTGAGCATCTCTTCAGAGTTCTGGGTCAACTTGGCGAGAGCTTGGTGAATGGCCATGAGGACATCGGGGGACAGGGTCTCCCCTTGTGCTCTCAAGACAGTGGCATTGATGCTGACAAAGAATCCATGCAGTCCTTGGAGAAGCTGGACAAGCAAGCCAGCTGGGACATTGTGCTGGAGCCCATAGAACAGAAGTCAGTAACCTCACCCCAAGTGGAAACCAGGCTGTCACGACAGGCCTGGCAGCCAAGTCCCTCCTGGTTAGGTTCAGGCAGACAACAAGACTGTCCACTCTCAAGGCTTCCAACGTCAAAGGTTCAGCCAGCATCACTTCAGGAAGCAAGAAACCAATGTCCTTCCAATCCAGACCCAGAAAGTATTTCCTCTAGACCTTTGGGACCAAGCACAAACACTCCATGGGATTCCCTTGGCAGCCAGGTCCCTGTGGAAGCATGCCTCTCTAAAGGTTCCATGTTAGCGGACCCTCCATTCCTCAGTGAAGACAAGGACAGCAGCCCAGAGAAGGAGGAAGATGAAGCTCGCAGCATGAGTCCACGTGCATGTCAGGACACAGCTCCACTTCCAAGGCCACGGTCTTCACCTGCTGGCTGGGAAAGCACATTTCAGCATCACTCCAGGAGGTATAGGAGCCCCCAGACCCGTGACATGATTCGGAAGATGAAGGAAGCCATCAGCAAATTTGTCCCTGTGCCCTCTGGACCCCCTGACTGGGCTGAAGAGGAGAACCGGAGGACAATGGGCCCACCAAGACCTAGCACGGTCAGTGGCAGCAGGGGGGCTCTGGTGAAGCAAATAAGGTCCCAGTCAGAGGGGAATCTGAAAAGCCATATGGAGGGCCCCACCCTCCAGGAGCTACAGAGGGACCAGAGGGACCTCAGCCAGAGGCTGGAGGCATTCTATGCACTGGGGGCACACAGCCAGCGGCACAGCAAGGAGCAGCTTCTGCAGCTCAGAGCAGCAGCTTTGTGGACAGACACCAAGGGCCAGGTGACTCCGACCAATGCTATCAGCAAGCTGAAGGCATCTCTCACCAAAAACTTCAGCATTTTGCCTAGTCAGGACAAGAGCATTATGCAGAAGTGCAATCCCCACCCCGAGAGTGAGCAGCCTTGGCATCCCAACGCCAGCCCATTGGGTGAAAAGAGAAGCAAGGCTCCCAGGACCAAGGACTGTAACACTAGAGGCTATCCCACCAGAATATCAGTCAAGAAACTCATTGAAACTTTCAGTTCCACTAACAGTCTGAGTTCACTGGGGGCTTCCAAGGACTCTGAGCCAAACCTCTGCCTCAGCAAGTGGGGGGTTCCCATCATGCCTCCCAGATTCCCCATCTATAGGGGACTTGTCTCTTTGTACCCTAAGGCCCACATTTCTCCAGCAGCAGGCTGGAGGTCCTTTGCACCTCTCTTTCCCCCTCTGCTTACAACAGAAGCCTCCAAGAGTGAGGATATCCACAGTGAGACAGAGGAGGACCCCCAGCATCTTCCTCCACCACCTTTGGAAATCCTGATGGACAAATCATTTGTGTCTCTGGAGCCCCGAGAAAGCAGTGATCCAGCAAGAAGCTTCCCTGAAGGGAACAGCATGCCAGGGATGGGAAGATTTGGCCCTTCCAGGAGAATATGGACTTCCCCAAAGTTGAGAGCCTCCATGAGCCCCACTGAGCTGCTGCCCAACAAGGGCACAGCCAGCACTACCAGGCCCCAAAGCACAGGGCCAGGGGGCAGCAAGAGTAGCTGCAATCCTAGAAAGCTTATCTTGGACTTGAACCACCCACCAGCCAGCAGCCAAAACCCAGAGGTAGAGGGTGGGGTTCAGAGTCAGCCACAAGCAGAGAAGACGACAAGCCATTGCAGGCATACCCAGAAGACATTACCCTGGCGCTGCTGTAGCCACTTATCCGGGCAAAGGAGGGCCTTGGAACTCAGCCTGGCTGTACCAATGCGAAGACCACATTCTCCTCAGGCTTCAAAGCAAAGCCAACAGAGAAGTCCCCTGGTGGTCAGGAAGACCTCTCCCAGAAGGGTGCTCAGGGCACCCCTAGCTGAGAAGAGACATGAGAGCCTGCCCTCCTCCCACAGGCCAGCCCAACCAAGACTCCCCACTGTGTACAGGTCCCCTAACCCACCACTCAGTACTGAAGCACCAAGCCCCCCAGTGAGTCCCAGGACGCTATGCCCACTAACACTGAAGAAACAAATGTCCCCATCACCCCAGCACAAGGTGTCCAACCCTCCCCCAGAAAGCCCACCTGATCAACACAAGGTCTCCAGCCCTCCTAGCCAGAGAAAAGAAGCAAGTTCCCCATCCTCCAGTCCCTCCCCATCTCACCCAGCATCTCCCACTCTGAAGGATAAGGAAACAAGAGACGCTGAAGACAGCCCAGGAGCCATGGCCAAAGTATCTGAGAATATATGTTCCATATTCTGTCCAGCCACCTCCTCTCTGTTTGAAACTAAGATACCACTCTCAAGAGCTTACCTACTGACCCCCCCAGAGGCTGGGGGCTCTCTCCGGACACCAGCAGGATGCTGGAGGAGTAGCAGTTCAGGGCCACGACTGAAGACAGATTTACAGAGGAGAGTGGTTCTGTATGCCCTCAATCCTCAGCCTTTCATCAGAAAGACAGCTTCTGAATGCCGGTCTGGTGTCAGGCTCTGGCTGTCTGTCTCTGGCTGCATCCACACAACTAGTGAAGCCCAGCGTAGCCAATGCAGGTAAGAATCATCCTCAGGAAGATGGAAGGGAAGAGCTAACAGGCCTTAGGATCTTCTGGGTCAATAGTTTTTAAACTGTGATGCAAGAAAAGAGGCAGCTGGGAAAGTTGCCTAGTCCTCCCCTTCTTCAACTATGAGCAGCTGTGCTCTTACCTGTTACCAATCTGAGGTTTCTGAGAAAGATTTTTATTGAAAACTTCTGCTGTATTAAAAATAACGTTGAAAACAATCAAGCCAGTCAAATCCCTCCTTCATTTTACAAATGGGGTATCAGGTGAAGTGACTTGTCCTCACAGTCAACTTGCTATCACACTCTGGTCCCAACTGGGTGGTTTGTCCAGGTTAATATTATCGTAGATCTGTGTCTAGGGTAGAAGTTCTCAAACATTTTGGTTTCAAGACTCCTTTCAAACTCTTAAAATACGAGAACCCAAAAGAAGTTTTGTTTATTTGGGCTCTATCTGTTGGGAAGTGTCATTGAGTGAATTCTGACTCAGAGAGATCTATATAGGGTTTCCAAGGCTGGAAATCTTTACAGGAGCAGAAAGTCTTGTCTTTCTCCTTCAAAATGACTGGTGGGTTTGAATGACCGACCTTCAGTCCAGTGCTTATCCTACAGTGCCACCAGCGCTCCTTTTGATATGTTGTTAAGTACTGTTGAGTCAGTTCCAACTCACAGCTGCCCTGTATAGAGTTTCTGAGGAGCACCTGAGGAGTTTGAACCACTGACCTTGCAATTCAAATGACCTTGCAGTCCAGTGCTTATCCTACAGCACCATACCAGGAATCCTTTTGCCACATTAGATAATATTTAATTAATTTTAAGAGAACAAAAATAAGCCCATTACATGTTATACTAAATAACATACTCATGAAAACCAACAATATTTTCCACACAAAAAAAAAATTAGTGGAAAGAGTGGCATTGTCTCACATTTTTTGCCAATCTCTTTAGTGATGTTTAATAGAAAAGAGCTGGATTTTCTTATCTGCTTCTTCATGTGATCTGTCGTGACGATCACATGTCATGTAGATGCTGGATCACGTGTCATGTAGCCTTCACAAGAGAATGAGAGTGAAAAAAAGCATGTAACATCTTAGTCTGAAAACTCCTTCCTACTAGAGCACAGTTCTACTCTGACACACACGGACTCACCATGACTCAAAATCAACTCAATGGCAGCTAGTGCTGGGGGTGGATTGTTATGAAAATATTTTTGACCACTCTGGCCCTAGAAGTATAGCATGTAAATGACTACTTCCTGACCTCAAACCTCTAGCCTCACTTATTCTCCAGCTCAGTCTGATCTCTGTCTCCCCACCAGAGATTACAGAGTAGAAGCAAGACTTTCCCCGTGACGCTGCAGGATAATGCGCTGGACTGCGAGGTTCAAACCACCAGTCACCTCGGAAACCCCATACAGGATCACTATGAGTTGGAACCAACTCGATGACACTTAACCACAACAATAAACATCAGAGCCAAGGCTGACTGAGTTTCAAGTGCATGTGCTCTCATCAGGGACAGCTGACTTGGATGTCACTTGGCCAGCCATGCCCATAGGCCTGGACTTTGGGGCCTGAATCCAAGATCACCATTATTATAGCCATTGAAAGAAGAATTCTCATGCTCAATGGTGATTTTGCAGAAAGAAAGCGTGATTTTTCAGGAATGCTGGCTTGGGGAACAAAAGATAACTTTGAGGCCTATCAGTCAGGAACTCTTCTTACCAATATGTCTTGATGATCAGATCAGACAAAGCTTAACCAATACCAGTGCCTGCTACCTTTGCATGTACCCTTGTGTAAACTAGCAGTTAATTTCTGCCTGACTGGTAAGTGTTGCAGACCTCACAGGTCTGTTGAGGTGTAAATAGTAATTTTGCACAAAGTACTCGGCAGTCAATTTTAAATAAAGATGTTATCTCAGTAAAGTTGTATGTTATTATCGGTATATAAACTTTCCCAGCCACTTGAAAGAAATGAAATATTGATTCTTTTTTGCAAGAATCTTAATGTAATATTGCTCTTTTCTTTAATCGAAAATTAGCTTCCTACAGCACAGTGGCCTTCATCTAAGAACCTCTATAAACGTTAGTGCATCATGCCTTACATCATGTGGTTATTAGATTTCTAGCCATCCACGTGGTTATTAGATTTCTAAAATGGTGCCCTTCAGGAGAAGAACTTTCGAGAACAGGGAAAAATAACACGACATTAATGAAAAGCACTAACATTTTAAAACAGCAGGAACAATCGTATAGTAACATAAAATTGTTCAAGAAGAAAATAATGCCTATCTCTCAAGAGTTCTCCTCAGAATAGGGCAGACTATGGTCATTTTTGGCTAAGTGGCAGCATCAATGAGCTCAAGCGGGGAAACAATTGTGAGGCTGGCCCAGGACTGGGCAGTGTTTTGTTTTGTTGTGCACAGGGTCGCTATGAGTCAGTACCGACTCGATGGCACCTAACAACAACAACAACAAGAGGTTATTTTATGTCCTGAATCTCAATACTTGGCTGGGGGGCAAGCGGAAGTGGTGGGGGATGGGGACTTCATCTTTGAAAGAGAGAACAAGTCCCAAGCAGGAGCCTCCGAGGTCAATGTGAAAGGGCACATAATGACTCCCCAGGATCCTGCACCAAGCCAGTGCCAGAGAGCCAGCAACTAGGGACAGTCTCCTGCACCTGGTAGCAGTTCCCTTCTGTCGCCTGGTATGGCAACTGGGAAAATCCAGCTCCTAGCCTGAGCCCCTGTAGATATGGAAGCAGGGTAGGCTGGGGGAAGAGGCAGCTCTAGGACCAGACTGTCTAGCCACAGTATCAGCCTCCACAGCATTCTGGCCCAGAGTTGCCTACCACAGGCTTTCCCCTGGACATGCCCCCTTCTGCATTCCTGCCAGTTAGTCCTCTTGCCAGGGGTGATAGAGTGAGGAGGTAGATATGCCTTTCCCGACTCCAAAGGGCACAGGTGAAGTAAAGTGAGAGCTGTTGCTCACCAACCATGCTGGGCCCTGGACACCTACAGGGACCCAGGATCAGGTCAGAGATGATGTGGTGGGCTCCTCGCCACCTCTTAGCTATCTTTGGAATCATGATTAGCATCCAAATGCAAATTTGTCCTCCACTGGTTTGGTGTCACGTGTGGCTTAGTATGCTATTTAATGAAATTCATTAACTAGGTGGAAACATACTGTCTGCTCTATGTCCATGGGGTCCTGAGGAGATGGACAGAGAGGCGCTGACCAAAGCCCCCAACCCTCTGAGCTTCAGGTGCCTACCTTTGTATGACTTGGGGGGTTCCTAATGTTCTTTCTGGAGTCCTAATATGGCGCTGGACCAAAGGTCAGTTTGAACCAAAAGGCCAGCGGTTCAAACTCACCAGGTGCTCCTCAGAAACCCTATGTTGTTGTTGTTGTTAAGGGCCGTCGAGTCGATTCCAACCCGTAGCGTTCACTAAGAGTCAGAATCAACTCAACGGTACTAAACAACAACAGTGCGGTGTCCTTTCTAGGTTTGACTTTCTATTAATTCTATAAAGCAGCAGCATAGTGACAACCCACCCCTTACTGAACACTTACGACGTACCACTTAGTAAGCAAAGAGTTTTACATGCTTCACTCGATACTGATTGATATCTCTACATACCCTATGAAATACGTGCTATTTGTATTTCCAGTTTATAAATATGAAAGCTGAGGCTCAGAGAGATTCCACTGATAAAAGCTGCAAAACTGGTAAGTAGAAGAACCAGGGCATTAACTCAGGCAGCTAGACTCCAACCTTCACCCAGTAATCACCAGCATATAACCAAGTGTGGCTCTCTGAGTTAGTCCAGCCTTCTAACATGCTCAAGCCCACCCACTCCCAAATTCCCAGAGCCTGTCCATCACACTGAGGAAAATGTGTGGGTATCCCCACCTCCATGCAAGCCCCCTCCTAGGCTCTGTCACATATGGCTCAGCAGCTGGGAAACTCTATTCTATCCAAATGCTGAGCCTCCGCTCTGCCAAGAAGTTTCCATTTTCTCCATTCAGGAAAAGGGTGGCAAATGAGTGAAGCCGTTTATATGTGTGCGTGTGTGGCTTTTGTTTTGTTTTGTTTTTAATTCTAGGAGCTAAGCCCAGCCCTTGATTAAACAAGAAATGTTTTTTAAACAACATAAAGGCCCAGCTCCCACAGCTGGGAGTTGCTTTGTTCAAGCAGTAGGATCCTGGGCATCAGGGAAAAGAATACGACTCAACCTGTCAGCCAAAACAACCTCTAGCTCAGTCCCCACAGTGCCAGTCCTCAGCAGGCAAGCAGCACGGACAGCAGCCTTCAGGGCATACTTGACACAGAATGAGAGGCTCTCCGGTTCACCAGTCAGTGGGACAGACCATGAGCAGGACAATGGAGATGGGGAGGGGCCAGGAGAAACTGCAGAGCAAGTATTTCATCTGCATCCATCTTCCCTTTGCAGCAGCGATGAGGCCCCCAGGAAGGACACCGAGCCTTGGAGCAGCCTCTGTGGCCCGGAACTGAATCTAAAGCGTGTATCTCCCCCAGAGCTGTATGTACTGGGCCATGGGCTACAGCGAGAGGACCAGCTCCAGCCAGAAGCACAGCCCCAGCAGAAGGCAACAGCCTGACTAGCCAGTCAGTGGAGTCCCATTGATCATCAAGGGTGCCACCAAGCATCCTGGCTTCCCCATAGGCAGTGGGCAAACCAAATTCCTATTGAGGTGTCCTAGAAAGGTGTGCAGGTGCAATGCTAGGCATGTCTGCTGACTCTGGCCTTATAACCACAACAGACAGGGAGGCAACTTTTAAGATGTGATTGTTTTCCGTCCAGGTACCAATGACTAACAATGACTTTAGACCCCCACAATGGCACCCTTTAATTTGCCAAATATTGACATTAAAGACAACAAGCCAAAACGTATTTATTGCCTGCTGGACGAGACAGGTCTTTTACCTGTGGTGCCACTCTGCATTTCCAGAGCCCGCCCACTGCATTGCCCGGTCTGCGCCCTCTTCGTGGTCACAGCTAAGCTTGAACTACATGTTGCAGCTATTGTGCGAATCCACCTCATTGAGGCTTTCCCTCATTTGTCCCCCTCCCCCACTGGCCAACCATGATGTATTGTTATAGCAATTGGTCTTTCCCGTGATCACCCCATTAGACCATCAAATTCTCACAGTGATGTAGACATCATTCTTCCATTTTGAAAATTAAAAAATATATATAAAATGAGGAAGGCTGTGGGGTGGGGGGCAGGAGGCTAAGTGTCTTTGCTCAAGGAAGAGAATAAAGCAAAAATCTGAACATGTGTCTGGCTTCAGAGTTTATGTTCTTTTCATTGCATATCTGATCTCTTTGTCTGTCTAAAGCATTCATGGATGTACCAATGGTTGGAATGTTTTGTTTTGTTTTTTTAAGGTTAATTGGTGGTTCTGCATTGACTTTCCCATTAAGAGTTTTGTTTATCCAGAGATGAGAAGACTGAGCAGGAATTAAGATGCTCAGTCCCACCCACCCTCCTCCCTCTCCTTCCCAAGCCCTGCCCCAGCGCAGTGCCCGCAGACAAGCTGCCTCTCGCTTTAAACATGTCTCAAATGTTCTTGCTGCCCTACCCATCCACATGCTTCTTGGACTGAGTGGGCACAACCAAGCCTCCTGAACAAGGCGCCTATTCTCTGCATGCCATGGGTGCTGAAGCTCTCAAAGGCAAGTCACATGCTTTCAAATGCCAGTCCATTCCTCAGGCTCCTTGGGCCAACTTCATTCCCACATCATCTATAGAACTTCTGCTGGAGCTGAAATTTGAGCCAAGAACATTCATTCGTTCCAAAACCCTGTGTCTGCCAATGAGCTAGATATTTGCTGTGCATCTTGGAATTTTGCCATTGAGGGCTTGGAGTGCTTCTATTTAGAAAAAAAAAAAAATGTGCAAGTAATTGGGTGATTCAATGAGTGCTCAGTGCATTGTCAAAAGACAAGAATTCTCACCCACATGGTACAATTAAGGAGCATCCTCCAGATCTGTTGCAAAGGTGATTTTTTTTTTTTAGTTTGGGAAAATTCCGTATCTAAAACCTTTACTTTTTAAAACACAGAGCAAGCTCAAGATCATTGTCTTGGGAACCACAGCTACCTCCCTTGGAAGTAGGCTATGCTCCAACTAAATAAAGCCCACATTAACTTTGTCCAGTTATTAAAATGGGGGTGATAGGAATTATCTCTTCCAAATCCCCTAAAGGAGAATCGGTTAAACCACTAAGAGGAAGCCATGACCCACTCGTGTATGTCTGCACACATCACCTATCCACTCTAAGTTGCTCAGTAACTGCACCAATCGGCTAAGCAGTGCTCAGGCCAGAGCAGGGCCAGTGTCTGGCCAAGACACACCCATGGCCTGCAGGCAATGGGAGGAAGTCCAGCTACCTGGCCTTGTCCGGGACTGAGGAGAGTGTGTGACAACAGTCAAGCTTAGGAAACTTTTTTTGGTAGAGTCTGGACATTCTCCCTGAATGGCTAGGCAGGCAGCCTGGGGACTAAGTGGTAGGTCCTAGAGGAGGCCCACCACTAATAAAGCAGGAAATGAAGGCAGTGCTCTCAGGTGCACCAGCCCCTAGGTGCTTCATGGAAGACAGGTCAGAAAGTGGGTCACAGCCTGTACTGGGGTACAGGGGTAGGATTTCAGACCTGGGAGTCAAAAGAAACAACTCCAGCTGCTGGGAAATGGAATAGAGGCACAGTTGATGAAACTGAGATCCAGCATGAATGCTTCGTCACAGGGACAATAAAAGGCTGGTTCCTGGGCAGGTGTCTCTGCTGGGGTATGGAGAGTGCAGATCACACCTTCTGTCAGTGGGCGTGACGCCAACATGACCCCAGGTCAGTGGCAACAGTGGCATCAGGTGGACCGGTGCCACAGGTGGAGGGGCCGTCAAGGCAGTGGTGGCTCTAGGGTTAGTGTCCCCATAACTCAGTGTAGTGTCTCATCACCACCCCTCAGCGCTTGTCAGTGGGGTGTGGGTGGGTGGATCATGATGCCCACTATTGAGTGGAGAGGAGGATCTATGCAAGGGGTCACAGGGGCAGTACGAAGTGGTCCCACCCATGGGGCAGTGAGGGGATGGTGACACCAACCCCAGTGGCTGCACTGTCCCTGGAGCCAGGATACTAATCGAGGACCAGAGCAGCAGAACAGGAAGTGAGGCTGAGTGAGCCCGCTGTACATCCTGGAGCTTGGGAGAGGGTTGAGTACGTATGCTGTGGCTAAGGGCACCCAGCTGTGGTGATGAGGGCCCACCCAGTCACATCACAGAGGGATCAGCCTCTTAGAGAGCTGGGGAGAGTCTCACTGTCCTCACAAGTGTCATGGCCTAAGGCTGTCTGGGATTAGTGATTGCTTCCACCCCAAGCAAGGCTGGCCAGCAGTAGGAAACAGTAGACAACTGCAGACTATACAGCAACTCCCAAAATTCCTTCTAGCCAACCAGAAAGCAGTGCATGATCCCTCCTTATCTTTCTGGAGGCACTTCACATTGATTGAGCACCTACTAAGGGCAAGGACCCTGAAGATGTCTCCAGACATGATTTGATGAGAGACTCCACTTGCCAGGTAGCAGGAACACTGAGCTCCTGTGTCACTTGTATTGCCCAAGGACCTGAAAGTTGTATGAATACCCAAGAAAGCTTACCCAAGTCAGATGGAGAGGGGCTGCCAAGATCAAGGGGCTGGGAGGAAACAAAGGTTAAGGGTGAAACAGTGCTGAGCTAGCATGAGAGCAGGTGGGTCAAAGATGTGGGTTGTTTGTTTGTTTGTTTGTTTTGTATGGCTACCATAGCAACTATCAGACTTGACTTAAATTAGGCATGAATGAGACTTTATACAAAAGAAATTAAATCCACCACCAAAGGCAACATCTCAGTTTTGCCCCTCCTGGAGCTCAGGCCTTCTACAAACCCATGTCTATGGTTCTGCCTTGGAGAGCACGCTGCTGCTGGTGGCTGCCCATCCTCTCCTTCACCAGAGATCCTGTCTTTGCTGGCCAAATTTACTTCCCTTGCCCAAAGGAAAAGAGAAGGTGGTTTATGTTTTCTTTACATTAATTAATTAAGCCAGTGGACCCAACCCATCAAAGATTCATGAGTCTATTTTTCTTCATAGAATTTGAAACCAAGCTGAAATATTGAATATAAGGCCAAAGGTACGCCCCTGACAGGCACTCAACTAAAGAGGTGCACACTATACCCAGGAGTCCTTGAAAGGTGCAAACAATTCACATATTCTGCTACTAACTTTTACGCTAGGGGTTCTAGTTCACCCAGAGGCAGTTGGAAACAAAGGTCTGGCAATCTATTCCTGAAAATGAGCATTCGAAACCCTATTCTACCCTGACACACATGGGGTCTCCATGAATAAGCTGGCTCAACAGCAACTGTTTTCTATATTATTATATCCATGTTCTTATTTTTGGACTCCTGCTGTGGCACCATAGGATCAGCACTGGACAGCGAACCACAAGGTGAGCAGTTCAAATCCACCAGCTGCTCCTCAGAAACCCTATACAGGATCGCTATGAGTCACAATTTACTCAGAGGCACTTAAGAACAACGACATTCTTATTTGGGTCCAGTCCTTTCTAGGTAGTGTACATTCCTATGGAGGTCCCCAGAGCCACAGGGAGGAAGGAGCTCAGTTCTTTATCCAGAACCTTCGTGATAATCAAACAGTTCTGCCCCAAAGGGGAAACACAAGTTTCTGGTTCCATCAAAAGGATTCATGGAGAAAAACAGCAAATATAATATTCCTACAGAAGAGCAGTAGTTTTTGCAGACATAAATACAATCCCCAAGATGAAGTATAACTTCCCTCTATAGCTTAGGTCCTGGTGTGGCACTGAAGGATAAGCATTCGACCACAAGTTGAAAGGTCGGCGGTTCAAACTCACCAGTTGCTCCTTGGAAATCCTATACAAGGTCGCTACGAGTCAGAACCGACTCGCCAGCACTTAATAACATAGCTTGGGTCTGTGGCAGCTTCTCTTTTCCTACCTCATGTCATACAACCAAGTCAGAATCTAAAATAATCTATATAGATAGAAAACACAGGGCAGACAGATCAAAGAGACTTTTCTTTCATTGTGAAAAACTAGTATTTGACAAGACTTGCTTCATAAAGCCTGTAATGTGAATGAAAAAGACTTTTAAGAAATAAATCCTTTTTATATATTAAGCCAGTGTTTTGCATATAACAGGAGAGCCAAAACAGTGAATTATAAGTGTCAACATATTTGTCAATTGGTCATCTGGTTGACTGCTTACAGGCTGCCAAGCACCTACTATATCTTTCAGAGGGAATCTTTTCAAAGGTAATATATTTTTAAGTAGCCCCACATTCAAGATTCTATTGAATTGCCATAAAGTAAATGTGTTCTGAGCCTATATTAACAGAACATGTTATACAGCACTATCATTTACTCCCTGTGCCCACCTGAAGTTTAAATAAAGTTCCATCAATCCACCCAGATGTTTTTATGAAATGTAATTAAAGATGCATTGCACACGCAGAGGAGCAAACAGTTAATTCACTCAGTGCTTTAACTCAATTTTATGGAAGACTCTGGACACTGCTGGTTT